TTACGAAAGTAAATAGCTGAGGTTGTTACGAGTCGATAAGCATTATCGTCACAGATATGAATGTGTTGATGAATGTCGTAATGAAAGACTGACTGCGAGTGAACGTTAATATGAAAGTTATTAATCGCTAAATGTGACTAGAATTTGATCACCACTGAGAGAGCTGACTGATATCATTGGTTGGTACATAGTCTATTTGGCTTATCAACTGATACTTGAAGTATTGAATGAAGAGAGCATGAGCGCTTGGTATCGAGTTTGCTGTTTCTGGGAAGTATGATCGAGGTGTGATGGAGGTGCGGACTTGTTCGCAACAAAATAGATTACTAGTCCAACTACAATGATTGTGATCGCGATTATCACGGCCACACAACAAAATATCTTCTTCTGAAAATGTATATGATAGAGTATGAAGGGAAGGGTAAGGCTTTATAAACTAAATGCGAAGGATGGTGAATGCATTCAGAAGTATTATCTGATAATAAGCAAGAAGGACAGATCGATGAATAGGTATGAGAGATTCGTGGCAAGAGGTGTTTGTGCTTACGAGTGAAGAGTGCTAATGAAACTTGCAAATGATCAGATGAAATGGTACACGATGATGACAATAAAACAAGAGGTGAATTTGAAAGAGAGTTGATTAAAGAATGGCTTTAATGAACAACCAGAACGACCAGATATATCATGCAAGCAATAAAATTAAATAAACAAAAAACAAACAAAATAATATCGAGCACATCAAAAGCACTAGCAAGAACAAGCCATTCAGCTCCTATGAATTAAGTGAAGCTACCTTCGATCAATCCAGCAAGCAATCAATATCTACTAATCATCCCTCGATCCACTTCTTGAACTAAGCAAGCTATTGGCAGATGCATAACTAAACCATGCACCAAAAACAAAGTCATAACTGAACTCACCCGTCTCGCCTTACTCTGATATTGCACTGCCTTTTTGGTATCTGCAACGGCTCTATCGACGAACTCTTTGGCATGTTCGACGTTATACTCTATTCGATCGACCATTTCACCCTTAACTCATGCAGATGCAATCATACGCTGCAGATAGTTGCATAACAAGAAGGATTAACAAAAACCTGCGATTCGACCAACATCGCCATATCCATGAACATGTCATGCAATTCACGGATCGACGACTCCAACTTCATGATATCGTTGTGTCTCGCCTCGATATCAGCCAGTGTCTGTCGTGCTTGTTGAGTGTCTGTGATTATACCTTGTGTGAATACACCAGGATTACCCGATTCAATCATCTCTTCCAGATCCTTAATTCTCATCGTCATTAACATCGTCTACCTGAGCACAGTTATTACTCACCTCATCTCCGACCTGCTTGCCAGCAATGTCCAATTGTCTCTGGATGCGACCCTTACAGCGTTCTCGATAATCCGTTTGCGTTTTGTTATAATCCGTCATTACCTCGACGAACTTCCGTGATAACGTCGAATGCTGTGTCTTTCTGATACGCAGATCAGCCGACGACATTCCTCCACTCTCGTCGTGCTCTATACTGTTCTCGATCACTAAATCAAAGCTATTCACCTTTCTACACCTTATTATCACATGCAAACAGCAACAGCATTTGATAACTAACATTTGAGTTTGCCTCTGACTTTATTCGCAGTCCTCTTTATGTTCGCCATCAACTCATCCAATTCCTCCTTCGTTTCTGCAAAATCAAATTCGTCTGTTCAGAGTTCACTGACTATGACAGTGATAAAAACAAATGATAACAATAATAAATACTCGGATCATTGACAGGATTCGAAAGGATCGCAGAGTGTTTCTTCTTGACCTCTTCAACATTTGACGCTATCAAATCAACACTTCCGCGAATCTCTTCAACCTTAAATTAATATTATATCAACTTATGTGTCAAGTGCCTCTTCGAATACCTACTTCACGTTTGTTCGAATGCAATTCAATCAATTACCTTAACGAATCGAATTTCATTATTAATAACAAAAAAGAGTCGTATTTCAGTGAATGCACATTTACATTTTATGTAAAGTGTTGAATGACAAACACGAACATGTCACTGAAACAAGCGTATGAAATAATTTCATTTCCTTCTAACGCTCCTCACAAATTGCTGTTTGCAGCACATTCGACACAACAAAAAAATGAAAACGTTCACAAATTCCATTTGAAAATTGTAGCGTTATCCTCATTCAATTACATCATAGTTCTGCTATTTTCAGTTGACCACATTCAAATATTCAATTTATTCAGTGCAAATTTCAATTTATTTCATTTCATTACAGAAACACACATCCATCCACTCCCTTTTAAACTTATTCTTTCATTATATCCCAATCCATCTAGCTCCTATATCCAAGTCTATTTCGGTTTTACGATAACTCAAATATATGTGACAATTTAGATGAGAAGCACACACTTTTTTCATTCTAAATATAGAATGCGAGATAAAGGGCAGAGAGAAAAGGGTTCGCTGGAGACTGATGAGGGCATTTCACTGGTTCGTAGACTTATGAAATAGAACTAGTATTTTGGTGGTTATTTCGAGTGAATTCATTAGTTTTGAAATGGACATTTTATCGACTGAGTTTGGTGGAGATTCGATGGGAATTCGTTTGTGTTCTTTCAGAAATGCATCAAACATTGATGACTGATTCAATATAAGATGATAACATTCGCAATAATCAACTTCAAATTCAACGAAATGAATTTGCGAAAATTTCGTGTTGAATCGTTTGAATCATTAAAAATTAATCGGATTCTTTATTGCTTGATGAGGAAATAAACGATTTGAATGAATGAATGCAGTTGGTGATTAAAACGACATCATTCGCCATAACAACAATCGAACAAAGTTTTGGAAGGGATAATTTCATTTCTCACTTTTACACAATCATTGTAAACACAATCAATCAACTATACAAATAACAACCGATTGGCCAATCAAACAAATAATGAACT